GTTTAGGGGTTTAGGGGTTTAGGGTTAAGGGGTAGTTATAAGTAGGGTTATAAGTAGGGTAACTATAGTTATAACCTATATTAGGGGACTTATAACTCCACTTATAACTACCCATGAACCTCCAAGTAGTTATAAGTGGACTTATAGGAGTGCGACTAGGTTTAGGGTTCAGGGTTTAGGGTCTACTTGGAGGTTCATGGGTAGTTATAAGTAGGGTTCCTTTTAGGAACCTAAAGGGTTTAGGGTTTAGGATTTAGGGCTTAGGGTTAAGGGGTAGTTATAAGTGGGTTTAGAAGTAGGAGAACTATAGTTATAACCTATACTAAAGGTGTGGGGCTTAGGGGGATAACTATTGTTATAACTTGTATTCAGGGACTTATACTTCCACTTCTAACCGCCCATGAACCTCCAAGTGGGCCTTTCTTCGGGTACCACTGGGAAACCTGAGTGCAAGGTAGGACCTCAGGAATTGGACTCGGATGTCGGGATCAGTTCTATGGCGCTGATGCCTATACCCTCAACCCCAAGCCCGAAAACACCTATGTTCGTACAGAACCTCTCAGAAATCTGCTGTAAACTATAGACTATACAAGGATCGTTCGGGAAGCTCGAAAAGCCCCCAAAAGCCCTCAACATCAGCCAAAAAGCTAAAGCCCTGAACCATCCTGAAACGATGAAGCCCCGAGCACAAAGTCCCGAACGCCCCAATTGCTCTAATCTGGAACACCCTGAACCCCTAAACCCTACCCTAAACCCTGCAATAACCCGAAAAAGCTCAGGCCAAGGCCTCATGAATACCCGGCCACCCCGGCGTTCGGTAAGCGCCGCCCCGAGCCTTAGCGATCACGGGAGGGCCTACCCTAGGGTCGGGTAGGGTTTCAGGGTATGGGCTATGGTTACGGTTTAAGCTTTAGGGTTAGGGGTGTACCCTAAACCCTAAACCCCCATTTGCTTGTGGTGAGTGCCTTTTCTGGCCAGATGTTACAAGTAAGTTTCTTGGTTGGGGCTGGTGGGATGAAGGTTTATGGGTTCATGTGTCTAGGGCGTCGGGGCTACGATTTTTGTTTTATGGGCTTTTGGGACTTTAGGTCTGTGGGCTATGGATTTTGAACTTGTGTTTTTGGGGGTTCGTGTGGAATTAGGGGTTCGGGGTTTGGGGTCTTGGGGTCTTGGAGTTTGGGAGTTTGGGATGGGTACGCTCAGGGCGCTGGGCTTGTTATTGCGGTTTGGTTTTGGGCGCTCTAAAGGTTCACGTGGCTTCTAACCTCTGAGATAAACACTGAAGCTATGGGTCTCCAGCCAAAACTCAGCCCAAACCCTAGACCCGAACTTTGGACCATGTTCTGGCCCAGCGACTTGTGCAGTTATCACAACAAGCACACAAATCAGGATACCTCTTGAGACCACCTACAGAAAATGAGCGCCTTGGCGCCTGCCTGTTGAACTTTCTATGCTGTCGGCACTTCGCAAGAAGCTCTTGGAGAGTTTCCCATAAGGAACGTCTCTCGGAAGATACCCAGATCCGGCCTTGTAATTAGGCCACCGAGCCATCAAACTCTCCCGCCTGACGTCGCACAGGATCTCATGCAGGGACAAAGAGGAGGGCATTGCAATCAGCCTCCTGCAGATGCGATGCAGCTTCTTCAAGAAGGGAGTCTTGAGCAGTAGAGCCTTTAAGTCGGAAAGTCGTGGCCGGGAAGGGCTCGAATGACAAAGGAGCATCAGTGCTTGCAGGTACAGTTTCGACTCTCGTGTCCTTCCAGACGCTCCCAAGCCTGCATCAACCATGGAGTCCAAAACCTGTATGGCTGTCGCGGGCCTGCCTGACAGAAGGTGTACCTTTGCATATGCCGTGTAACCGATGCGGTTGGGCTCAACATTTAGTTTGTGAACTAGCAGCTTCCAAATGTCGTCTGCCCTCTTCCAGTTATGCACAGCAGCTGCTTCGTTGATCAAGTTGCCGAGAAGCACCTCGTTCGCAGAAACGCTCCTGGAATGGGACATCTCTCTCAGATGAGAATCTACTTCGCCGTACTGGCCGCATTGCTCCAGTATTGATAGCAAGTTCGTGTAGGACAGAATGTCCTTGCCATGTGGAACAGTGTCTGCCCATTCTGCAATCTCTTTCGCCCATGACAGAGATTCTGGCCCAACCGCAGTGCATAGGTTCCATGCACTACTGATAGCAGGGTTAAAATCAAACTCAGACATCGGCGGGGGCATAGCTGCCCAAACGGACTTGCCCAGTGAGAGAGCCTTGTGGCGTCGAGTTGCCAGAAGAGCATCCGGAAGGGTACTGCGTTTGAGGCATGATGCCATCGCAGTCAAAAAGATTCGTGCCTGTAGACTATCTTGCCGTATCTTGCAGTGTTTCTGACGTTTGTCAACTTCCATCAGCGTCTCCCACCAGCAATTGTAACCGCACTTTTGCATGGCGGAACTGATCACGCTAGCATCTACCTCACCTTTGCTTATGGCAGTGTCCAACCTCTTCAGCAACATCTTGGACGTGCGTGAATCCTTCAGCACTTTGCGCCAGTGTCCAAATTTAGGATTCCTTCCGCTTAACGATCGTCCGGACAAGCCTAATGGCCAGTTG